ACTGATCTAAGTAATAAACCCCAAATCAATATTTTATCATGTGTTAACGTAATTCTGTATCTCTGATCTAGTCCACGGTACAATGGGACTGATTTTGTGCAGATGGGTCACATTTATGGACAGTTTTAGACTAGTTTAGACGGGAACAGATCTGAGTTTTGATCAGTTTTGGATTTGGTTTTGGAACTAGCTTGAACTTGTCTCAGACTTTATTTGGTTTTTGATTCATTTGAAATTTAGTTTTGGACTAGTTTGGACCTGGGTTTAGATTAGGTTAAGTCCTGTTTTTTTTGACTGGGTCTTGAACTTGATTTTGAACTTGAGTCATTTTGGATCTGGTTCTAGACTTGGTTTCAAGTTGGGACGTCTGAAGTACTGATGCTTTCTGTAAAACAAGAATAACCAGATATTTAGACAAACCTTTGTGTCACAGTTTGTGTCATTCTCAACTTTGACGCCAAGATTTTTATTTTTGATTCCAAATATCTTCTTCCTTGATCGACCCTGACCAAAAAGCATCTGTTTTAAACTCCGACAAAGACTTTTGTTTGGAGCGATGGAGCAAAATGTGGCTTAAATGATCATTAAATAACGCAACAGCCTTTCCTCAGCAGGTGTCCTCCATCATTTATGGGGGTTTCTCGGAGTCTTGACATGAGAAAAGAGGCCGTGTGATGCAGGAGTGTAGAGGAGGCTTCGCTGTGGTTTCCTGTCAGTAGGTGGGAGGATGTCGAGTCGGTTGCAGCAGCAGCAGCGTTTTCTCGCAGCGCTGCAGCTTCATAACAGCCGGCGACGCTCTGAAGCGAGCAGTCACACCTTCGAGGTGTTTGTGTGGAGCACTTTGAGCTTTTCCACTTTCCACCAGCAGTTTGAGACAAAGAGCTGAAGCGGCCTCCAGTCAGCGCTCACCGCAGCACAAACGTGAACTTTAATGGTAGCCGGCTGGTTAGTGAGTCACCTGTTTAGTGAGTCATCCTCTGCTCCGGTCTACCACAAAACTCTGACTTTTACAGACTCCATTCTGTCTGTTTTCACAGGTTTTAAATCTCTTCCTCAGAGTCATAGCTTGTGGCGGGAGCTTGAAGGCTTCTGGGAGGTGATTGGGTGCAGCGATGACGGCGAGGCAGTGACGAAGACGAATCACCAGCTCATCGTCGAGGAAGAAGCAGCAAAGTTGTCCTCAGAAATGGCGTCTGTTCGGTTACAGTAGTCGACCCATGTGGACCAGATACTGAGGAGGAGACGCCGAAGCTTCACCAATCCTCCATCACCGAACCAACCGTCGGTCCGATTGCCGTTTCTCCTCAGGTGTCGGTGAGGTTTCATCATTTTTGTCTGCAGGTGTGGGCGACTGGGCTTCCTGGTTTGGACTGGTTCTTGACTGGTTTGGACACGATTGGTTTGGGACTTGATTTTGGATTTTCTGGTTTTAAACTGGGTGTGCTTGGTCTTGGATTGGGTTTTGGGTTCAGTTTTGGACTGGTTTTGGGATCGCCTGGTCCTAGTTATTGATTTGGGTGTGGATTTGGTTTTGGAATGGTCTTGGACTTGTTTGGACCTGGTTTTGAAGATGATATTGGACTTGGTTTTGGTTGAGGTTTTTGGATTTGGTTTTTGAATCATTTGAGCCTTTTTTTAAAGCTGGTTTTAAACTGGATGCTGTATTTGGTCTTGGATTTGGTTTTGGACTAGTTCTGGGCTTGTTTGGACCTAGTTATGGATTTGGGTTTGGACTAGGTTGGACCTCATTTTAAATCTGATTTTAAACTTATTTGGATGTGATTTTGGACTAGATTGGATCCAGTTTGGACTTAGTTCAGACCTGGCATAGAACTGGTTTGATTGGTTGTGGGTGGATTTTTGAACTTGGTTAGGGTTAGTCTTGTTTTAAACTGTGACTGGATTTGGGCTAATTTTTGACTGGCTCCTGATTTAATTTTAAGCCTGGTTCAGATTTCATTTTAGACTTGGTTTTGGACCGGTTTCAGACTTGATTTTAGATGTGATTTAGACTGTCCAGACTAGATGTAGAGTAAGTTTTGGCTTTTTTTTTTTTTTTTAGACTTGACTTTGGACTGGTTTTAATTTTATTAGAGACTTGATTTGAGGTTTGTACTCTCCTTTGGACTGGTTTTTAACTGGTTTTGGATTCGGTTTTGGCCTGGTTTAGACCTGACATTCCTTCCCAGCATGCACAGTGAGCAGCAGGTCGGCCTGTTTCTCAGCAACGCCTTATTAAGTAGTCAGACTTACACTCGTTTTACTCATTAAGTCGACAGCAAAACTTTTCCTCCTTAATCCGGAATTTCACTCTGATTTCCTGAAGTTTTGTAATTTGACCGTTTAGTCGAGTAAAACATCTCAGAAATATCAGTGGACATGGTTTTTAGAAAACTATCTAGATTGTAGAAGTCAACAGAGATTTTATTATTCACATAAACGTATCACAGAAACGGAACTCTCAATAACTAGTTTTTCTGTGGGACAAATTGTTGTAGGTCAAATACTCAATTTATATATATATATGGAATTTATCTGTAAAAGAAAAGTTCTTTGTATATTAGATCAACATACAGGCACAAACTGAGTTTAGTTTTAAACCAACTAATTCAGGCATTTGAGTATAAATTGCTCGCAGTGTTAAATTGATGCAACATCATTGTATCAATTGTCAAAATAATAATTGGATTTCTGTCTTGCATTCATGCACTTAATTAAGTGGTGGGGACAGATGACTTTATAATTTGATAGTTCTGCATTTATCTCACAGCTTTGGTTACTTCTGAGATTTAGATTTTACTTAAATACATCATTTAACACCTAAATAGACTCAGATTAAAGTGACAAACAGTTAAAAAGCAGATAGACAACATATGACCAGAAAACAGCGATAATACTTCACATGCATGGATCAGAAACAATAATTCAACATTATCTACATAATAACAGTTTGTCCTGATAAAAAAGTAGGTTTAGATGTTTTGGGTACATTTTACTGCAGACTCTGTTGTACTTTTAGTGTAAAGGACTTTTAGTGCAGGACTTTTCATTTAGAAATGTTGCTGTTTTGCTTTCAGCTTTAGAAACCACAGCAGCATCAGCGTTAAACCAGACTCAGATAACATTTGGTCACACCTGCGAAAACTCTTCCTCTAAACTACTCACAAGTTTACAGTACACAAGCATCAGCAGGAAAAAGTACCAGAAGTTCTCATATCACTGGATTGAACATTAAGACGTCTTTTGATGCAGCTTCTAAAGCTGTGGACTTTCTTTGCAGACTGGATTTAAAACGTCGTTTTAGACTGGTTTCATACTGGTTTTGGACTGGACTTTTACCTGGAATAGACTGGTTTTGGACTTGGCTGTTAACTGGTTTTAGACTGGTTTTGGGCTGAGTTTCAGACTTGGTTTCGACTGGTTTTTGATTTGATTTTGGACTGGGATTAGCTTAACTTTGAACTGGTTTTGGACTTTGGTTTTAACCCTGGATTGGTTTTAGACTTGGTTTTAACTGGTTTTTACACAGTGTTAAACTGTTTTTGGACTGGTTTTTAGACTGGATTTTGAAATTTGGTTTGGCATTTGGATTTAGACTTGGTTTGGACTGGTATTAGACCGATTTCTTTTTCAGTATTATTATTTTTTCAGGGTTTTTTCACCTTTAATTGACAGGAGAGTGAAGAGAGACAGAGAAACGTGGGGAGTAGAGTGGGGGAAAGACATGCAGCAAATGAGCTGCTAGCTGGACTCGAACGGCGGTCACTGCGTCGGGATTATAACCCCTGTACACGGGTCGCCGTCTTATCCAGTTGAGCTACTGGGGCGCCGGTATTAGACCAATTTCTAACTGGTTTCTAACTTCAGCTGAGTTGATTTTAATCAAGGAAACGCATCACACATCCGGGCTCCACTTTCTTTTATCAGATTTTATCTCGACTTCTCTGACTAAATGTTGAAATGCAGCTAGTGGTTTTCATAAAATCAATTTTCTTCCTGTCACTCTTCTGTTCCACATCTTTTTCAACACATTTCTGTTTGCTTGCAGCTTTTAGTAAATCCTGTCGGAGTTTTCGTGGCGAGGCCAGCGATCATAAAATGGCTGCTTCTTACACTGTGGCGATGACCTCTGTGAGGACGATAAAATGAGAGTTTTTAAGTCGTGAAAGCTGAAAATGGGAGCTGTGTGTTTGAGGCAGGTTTCCAGTGTCTCCAGCGTTCAGACTCGGCTGCTGGGTGCTTAATGAAGAGTTCAGGACTGCAGAGGAAACAAACTGATCTGTACGAGTCACGTGGTTTAACTTCCTGTGATCAGGATGTCGATCAGTTCTTCTCCTGAAGCCTCAGAAAGTAACAATCAGCAGATATTTATGAAAGTAGAGCAGCGGCTTCGTCTGAGGAAACACGTGTTCCTTTTGTATTTATTTTATTTAACATTTATTTTACCAGGTAACTTAATTGAGAACTGGTTCTCATTTTCAATAACGACCTGGTCAAGAGGCAGAATACAAACAAGATGAACAGGAAAAACAGATGTCATGTACAGCAACTCACACAATTAATGACAAAACAAATTACACAAAGACTTGTAAAACAGAGAGGCTAAAAACAGCTGCAGTGGTCCTGAAGTGTTGCTCCAACTGATTTTTTGAGCAACAGGAGTGGTACGTGAGTTTTAGGGAATCTTGCAAATGGTTGCAGTCATTAGCGGCAGAAAACTTGAATGAGGATCGGCTGAAAGTGGTGCGGACTTTGGTAATGTGGAGGTTTATGAGACGTTCATTTTAACAAGAATAAATTTGGCGGGGTGTGTGAATCAACATTTGTTACGGTATAGAAAACTGATTCTGGATTTAACTTTGGAGAGCAGAGTGCTGATATGTCATTCAAATAAGAGTCAAATTCCCAGATACTCATAGCAGGACACAGATTGAATCTCAGTGCCGTTCAGTGAGAGAAGTTTGATCGGACAGTCAATTTGTGGGAGGGTTCTGTTGAAGACCATGCATTTGGTTTTGCTTGTGTTTAGTGACAGAAGAAGATCGGCGAAAGCGTGTTGAATGTAACTGAAGCTGATCTGTAGCGCAGACAGGGCAGCGTGGAGGGAGGAACTACATGTATAGACAATGGTGTCATCGGCGTACAGATGGATGTGCGAATTGTTTACGGCATGGGTTATATTGTTGATGTAACTGTTAAAGTGTGTTCGAACATACAAGCATCATGAGAAACTGTATTTTGAACTGATTTCAGACTTTGTTTCAGAGTGGATTTTGGTCTGATGTTACACTGGTTTTGTACGGGTTTTGGACTTCGTTTAGAATTTGATTTCAGATTTCGATTTGGACATTTGAGACAGATTTTGGACTTGTTTTGGGGTGTTTTAGAATTCGGTTTGGCCTTAGTTTCAGACTTGGTTTTGAACTTCTTTTGGACTGGATTTGACTAGATTTGAAGAGTTCATTTGCAAAAGCAGAAACAGAAGTTGAGTGGATTTGACTCAGTTAAATGACATCATAAAAATAGAGATAATTTACATTTGATTGATACTGTCTCAGGTAGACGACGGAAAAGTGGGTTTTGTGAAGGTTTGTGAAGATGGAGTTATCTGTTTTTGGAAATGAACTCTTAATTTGAACTTAGTTGTAGACGGATTTTGGATTTGTTTTTGGGGTGTTTTGGGTTTGACCTGATTTGAAGGGTCGGTTCAGACTTGTATTTGAAGCCTCTCGAACAACTCCCCACAGTTATTGTGAGGATTCAGTGTATCAGAGTGACTGAGTATGATCCAGACTGACTCCATGATGCTGAGATGGATGAATTTAAGACAATGAGATTCATTCTGATGGTGATGGAGAAGAATCTGAAGTTTCTAACACTTTTGCACATATGATTGTAACGAGGACATTTCTCCTGAATAATAAGGAAAAAAACTTTTCCAGAAAATGGCAAATGAAATCTTCTCATATTTTTGATGGATGGTGATACAAAGTCTGCTGTCCTTTATGAGATATTCCTGAAACATTAAAACTAAAAAGATCACACAGTGGTATCAGTCTTGTTATTTAAGATGTTCAACAGACATGTTTAACTCTGATTGAAACTGAACCTTCCATCTTTGTTTTCTGAACATAGTGGAAATTTGACAGGTTTTTTTAAAGTGAGGCAGTGATTGGTAGAAGTTTCCATTGTTTTCTTCAAAGGCAGAAAAACCTCAAAGTGAAAAACAGCAAAGTTCCACTGAACAGTGAAAATACTTTAAGTAGAACAGTTCAAGATGCTCTGATGAAGCAACTTTTGTCTCGTCTGCTTCAGGTGGAACCGAGTGTCACGGCTTCCTGTTTTAAAAAAAAACTTTATTTAAATAAAGCGTGTTGACAACAAACATCCTGCTTCATTTTCAGCTTCAACCCACAAAACACAGATGGACTCTGGTTAGGACAAGTTTGACTCATTACAGGGTGGTTTTATTCTTGGTTTTGGACCGGATTTGAACTTGTTTTCAACTAGATTTGGATTTTGTTTTACTCTTGTTGTTGATTGGTTTTGCACTTGTTTTGGACTGAATTTGAACTTTGATCAGACTAGTTTTAAAGTTGGATTTTGCCTGGTTTTGAACTTGTTTTCGACTGGATTTGATACAGGTTTTGACTGGTTTTAGTCTTGGTATTAGACTCGTTTGGACTTTCTTTAGACTGGCTTTATACTTGGTTTAAAAGAGGGTTTTAAACTGGATTTAGATGTTGTTTGGATTGGTTTTATTCTTGGTTTCAGACTGACTTTAGATCTGGTTTAGACTGGTTTTATACTTGGTTTTATACTTGGTTTTAGACCTGATTTTAGACTGATTTGGACTCTGTTTTAGACTCGTTTTGGATTGGTTTTCGACTTGATTTTAAACTGGTTTTGGAATCTGTTTTACATTAGTTTTATGTTTGGATTTTATATGTGGTTTTAAACTGGTTTTGGACCTGATTTCAACAATCCTTAATGTAACTGTGGACGAGATTTATGTTATATACGTTTTATGCGTCATGCACTCAGTTTCTAAAAGACATCAGCTGATGTAGATTCTTTATTATCTTTAATAGAGAGCAGACTGTCACATACATATTCAAATCTGCAGGTACAGCCATGAGATTGGTCGAATATACAAACTGATTCCAGCTGTTCATTAAAAATATAAGATATCTCTGCTGGGTGAAATATTCAAGCTACAGACTTCATGTTTTATGTTCAATCCAACAGAAATATTCCACCTGTCCTGAGCGTCACTTTAGACACATTCATCCATCCATCCATCCATCCATCCATCATCTATACACCACTTAATCCTCACTAGGGTCATGGGGGTCTGGAGTCTATCCCAGCTGACTCAGGGTGAAGGCAGGGGACACCCTGGACAGGTCACCAGTCTATCACAGGGCTACACTTAGAGACAGACAACCAAGCACACTCACATTCACACCTACGGACAATTTAGAATCATCAATTAACCTCAACATGTTTTTTGACTGTCTGGGAGGAAACTGGAGAACCCGGAGAGAACCCACATTGCACGGGGAGAACATGGAGACTCCACGCAGAAAGATCCCGGGTGTCCTCACTGAGACGCCAACCAGCAACCTTCTTGCTGCGAGGCAACAGTGCTAACCAACTGCGCCACCCTGCAGCCCAACAGAGAACCCAATAATCCAAAGTTGCCTTTGGACGCCCCCTAAGCAAGTGGTTGGCAACAGTGTGAAGGAACCGAATAACCCCAATGGGAGGGGGGAAAACTATTCAGAAACTGTGGGATCTCCACTAGAATTTAAAATTAAATTTGGAAGGTTTGGACAGAGCCGTCACCCTGAGTCAGCTGGGATAGGCTCCAGCCCCCTCGCGACCCTAGTCAAGATTAAGCGGTGTATAGATAATGGATGGATGGAAGTTCGGACTGAATCTTTCCGTCTTGACAGTGAAATCTCAGACTTTGTGATGCTTGTCTTTCCTCCTCAGATGAACCATGGACGCCTCCTGGCTCTGTGCCCTCGTGTCTGTCGCCATTTTCATCGCCGTCGTCCTCCTCGCCGTCACCTGTCTGGACTGTAGGAACAAAAACCCGCTGGGTGGGATGAAGTTTCTGTGTCAGCATGTGGTTTACATGTTAGCTTCATGAAGTCCTCGGTGGTTTCCATTTAGACCTGTTAACACAGCCTTACGCCAGAGTTTTCGCACGTCTAATGTTCATGTGATTTTTGGTTGCTCACAGATTTGTCTTTACTTCACTGTTATTTTAGTTTAATTTGTTTCCCACCAACAGCCTCCATCAGGGAGACCGCTTCAGAGGAGTACGTGTCGTAAGTCTTCTGCAAGTCAGTTAAACAAAATGAAATCCTAAAATAATCACAAGTTGCTAACAGGTGTCTTTATTTGTTTAAACCAGACCCAGTTCATTCATAGTCATCCATCCATGTAAGTATGAAACACCAGAGGAGTTCACATTTGCTGGTTTAACCACTTAAATTATATAACTTATGTTACTTCTTTTTATTTATTTTTTTAAAATTTGATTTTGGACTGGTTTAAAACCTGATTCTGTAATTGGTTTAGACTAAATTTGGATTAGGTTTGGACTGGTTTTAAATGAGATTTGTACTTCATTTGGACAGGTTTGGTACTTGGTTTTAGACTAGTTTTAGGCTTGATTTGGACTGTGTTAGACTTGGTTTTAGGCTGGAATTGGACTTGAGTTAGACTGGTTTTAAACAAGATTTAGACTTAGTTTGGACATGTTTTGTACTTTGTTTAAGAATGATTTTAGTCTAGATTTAGACTTGATTTACACTTAATTTAGACTGGTTTTATATTAGGTTATATGCCGGTTTTGATCTTTCAGCTTTTGGAGGGAAAAAAGTTTCAAAAGGCATTTTCTTTTTCTTTTTTTTTATCACTAGACTGTGTAACACTGACTCTGTGTCTCCTGAATGTAAAGTTGAAGTATTTAAGAATGTTTTTGTTAGACGAGTTGTTTTATGTGAATACATGCTTCAGTCCATGTTTGTGACTTTAACTCTTTGCTGATGATGCTGTCATTGATGTTGGTGATGATGATGAGGATGATGATGAGGATGATGATGAGGATGATGATGGTATTCTCCTCTCTCTTGAGATGCAGCCCAGCCAGTTACTGACCTAACCTCCATCCGCTTGCCCTCCAACCATCTGTCACCATCGTGAGTCACTTTTTATGTGGGAGTCTGAGACTTTCTGATACACTTGTCCATCTGCTACCCTTCTTTCTCATGAAATAGTTTTAAGTTAATCTAAAGAGTTCCTTTGCCTTCAATCAGTGCTTTGATTTGGTCAGAAAATCTGCTCCTCTGGTGTAACTTTTTACTGTTGGGTGTTTTTGTTTGTTTATTTGTTTGTTTGTTTGTTTGTTTGTCTGTCCACATTCAGCCCAAATCCAGCTCAGTGGCGACCTCGACCCCACCCCCCATCAGAAATCGGTGAGATTCTCCTTTGGCCTTCTCCTGCTGTTATTGAAATTTAGGTTACTCAAGAGTTTATTCTGTATTTTATGTTTCAAAAAAAAACAAAAACTGTAAGGAGTAACCTTTGTTCAAATGTTTACATTTCAATATGGTCTAACTTGGAATCTTAACAAAATCACTTTTTTTCTGTCCCACAGAGAGCACTCCAAGTTATGAGAATCCAGGCATTGGTAAGATCTTTTTAAAAAGGCAACTGAGAAGGAACGAGTTGAAGACATTAACAAACTATATTGCTTAAACCTTTTTTAGACTGGATCTAGACTTAGACTTGGTTTAGATTAGATTTAGACTTGGTTTAGTCCTGGCTTTGGACTTGGTTTTAGATTACATTTGAACAAGGTTTGGACTGGTTTTATACTTTGAATCAGTCTTGATTCAGACTGGTTGTAGACTAGATTTAGACGTGGTTTGGACAGGTTTTATACGTGGCTTTCCACTGGTTCCAGACTGAATTTGGACTTGGTTTTAGATTAGGTATAGACTACATTTGAACTAGCTTTGGATTGATTTTGGACTTGGTTTCAGACATGATTTGGACTTGGTGTAGACATGGGTTTAGACTAGATTTGAACTTAGTTTAGACCTGGTTTTGGACTTGTTTTAGAGCTAGTTTTATACTAAATAAAGCGCAACTGAGAAGCAACGTGTTGAAGACATCTACAGAATGTATTGCAATCAGTTGTAACTAAACTTAGATGCACATTTCTGGACTACAAACACTAGAATAGGCTGATGAGTCAACAGCTCTGAACAATCTGGAGATACCAGAGAAGAAACCCAGTGGCGTCCAAACATGCAAACAGCAAGTAAACAATGCAAACTGAACTGACAGAGGTTTATATTTCTATGACACTGATTTAGAAGCCTGAAAAAGTCCAATTACTTCTTGGTCTTGACCCTCAAACTTGTTGTCACCCTCATGTTTCTACTTGTTGGTCTTCATGCAGGTTAGATTGTTGAACTCCACTTGAAGCTTGTTAGCAGAACGTGATCCCAACTTGATGGACGAGTTGTCTCTAAATGGAAATGATTGGTCTTGATTTAGGACTTGCTGGACCAATGGTTTATAATCATGCTGAGTTCTGGTGTCACTAGAAGTAGAATCGACCTGCTGAACCCTTTCAGGCCTTTTAGATATTAGCGAGTTTGAATGTACTCATATGAATTCGGTCAACCTGTTGGTTTTCCTGCAGAATCTGAACCTTTGGAGAGCGACGCTGACGATGCCGGATCCGGATACATGTAGGTTTTCTGTCTTCTCCTTCCACGGCTGTTTTTGTGGCGTCTCTTGTACCAGGATCGCTGCTACATCAACAGTTTAAAAAATAGACTCTGATCATTTCTTCTTCTGTGGTTTTTGCAGAATTGTGTTGCCTGAAGGACAACCCTCGACGCCCAGTTCAGGTAGAGGTACAGTTTGGTAAAGTTTTGTCTAAAGCAGAGAAAAATACTTAGAAAGACATGAAGTCAGACTGATGTCGCAGATGAACTGATCAGGCGTTTGTTTTTAATCCTCAGATGTTCCACACGACTACGAGAACGTATCACCACCTGGTAGTAGGGCAGAGTCGGGTAAGATGAGTCAGTATTTACTTGAGGTGTTTTTACAGCGGGGGCATGACAGGGATGTCTAAAAATAAAACATGTACATATACTTTGGGATATGGGGCATCCCTGGAATTATTGGTTTGGATCTAAAATTAACAGTTTTTAAAACACGGCTTCCCAAAAAAAGTGCTGTCTTGGCTCAACTTGCCCCCTGCAAGGGGTACATTGAGCCTTTGGAGAAAACGTGTTGGGGTAAATTGTGCCAGCTATTGTGTTGAAGTAAAATTGAAAATGTTGTACCTTATATAATGCTATATCAAAGGAAGACAAATTCAATACCAAGTGACCTCTTAAAAGTTGTATTTAAAGATAAAATGTACAACTTTAAAGACCAATTTCCTTCAATAAGGTCCACAGATGACACATTTTGGATCAAAATCATGTCATTTTTACATATATAAAGGCTACAACTTTAAAGGCCGCTTGTCTTCAGTGAGGCCTTATCTTCAAGGACGTACATCGTGTTCAGCAGAAAAATACAAAACAGAATCACAGGCTCAGTGGGAAAATACAGATTCAGAATACAAACATAGCTATTACAACACTGCCCTATGTGGTCTTTCTTCCGTTACCTCAACTTATTTCAAATTCGCTTGTTTCCTACATTTGCGCTCACATTTCCACAAATACATTTAAATAATCACTGATGATTCTTCTTCTGTCCTCAGAGAACGACGACTATCAGAATGTGACGCCGCTGCCCTGTAAAGGTGAGTCTGACATCCAGGTTCTGTTCGCTTTCACTTCATTTGATCTGTAGTTTCAGAAACTCACAAACTTTCCCTTCATAAGGTTTACAGATAGATACATTTAATCTGCCACAGAAAATAGTCCCCAAAGCATTACTTGCTAGTCTGTTTTTTTTTCTTTTTTTTTTTAAAAACTAACTTTTGGAAATCATTGCAGTACACCGTGCAGTCTCACTGCAGGATCTTTCAGCAAACTTTTCAGAGTGTAGGTTGCTGCTCAGGGGTTGTTGTTTCTTGAAATGAAGGAGGGTTTTTGAAAACATAGATGACATAAGGGGAAGAGAAAGCTATGTAAAATATGAGACAGAAATGGTCGACTGATACCTGCAATCTACATCCGATACGTCAGGTTCTTCTGTACAGACTCTGGTTGGAAACGACATCAACAGAAGACCTGCACAATTATTTTAGTTTCTCTTTGGTGATCAATGATCGTCTTTGTTTCTTATTTTACATGATAGTAAGTTGAATAACTTTGAGTTTTAGACAAAATGAGACATTAAAAGATATTTGATCAGTGTTTTTCTAATGTTTTATGAACTACCAGAAAAATCGATTATTGAGAAAACGAGACGTGTCCAACGAACAGCATCGTGCTCCCCTGAGGAGGATTCTTTGTGCTGCAATGTCGTTTTATTTCTTCTCATACTTCCACCTGAACACATGAAATTAAACCCCAAATGTGTTGATTATCGCAGAATCAGACTTACACTGGCATCTAGCTTCGATTGGTCCATCAGTGCCGATGTCAGTGCCGATGTCGCCTATAAGCGACAGCGACAGCAACAACGACAGCGACAACGACGACGATGATGAGGATGACGACGACGACGAATCAGGGAACTACGTAAACCAACAACCTGTAAGGGACAGAAACTCTCACGCTTTTAGATCGTCGTGTGAACCAGCCGTCGCTCAGTTTGTCTTGTTCCCCTGCAGATGATCTTCCGCTAACCAGGTGCATGATGGGACGACTGACTGACTGAGCTTCTTCACCGACATCTTCATTCTTCTTCCTTCACGAAACTGCTGACGGTGTTTATTTAAAGAGCTGAATGGCTGAGAAGTGTTTCCTCACATGGAGAACTGGGTCATAATTTTCCATTTCTTGTCCAAACAAAAGTGAGATTTTGTCGGTGTTTTCATTCTTTACACAGCAGGAAGTAAAATAAAACACAACCAGGAGCCTAAAACTGTGCAGATGATGAACATCACAGACAGAAAAAAATCTTCCCTGAAACTAGAAGATGTGCTCTTTGTCAGTAAACGCCATGAGTCTGATGTAAGGTCACTGAAAAAGTCTGTTTGGAAGTTGCCTGAGAATCTTCCTGATTTTAGATTTCTTCAGCGATGCAGTGGCAGAAGTCTGTACATCCAGACTCACTGCCAACAGACACTTCTGCTCATTTTATTACAGATGGTTCTACAAAATGAGAACAAATCCAGGCTGAGAACAGCAGTACCGCCCCAAACCATTCATTTCCGTGCCAAAGTTTGATTTATACTGAATAGCTAGTTAACCAACACGTTTCTTCTGGCTGGTAATGACATAAACAAGTGATGAAAGGTGGGTTTTTTGTACTAGAAATGTTCAAAATGATTCCTCCCCTTTCTCAGTAATTGATGTTCTCATCTTGATTTGTCACCACATTAAATGGTTCTTCGGGTCTTACTTGCTATTCCTCTGATCTTTGTTTCCCTTTTACTTCAAGATTTGTGGCAGATTTCAAAGTACTGATATTTTTGAACATGATATTTTTAGTAGTGTAAAAAACAACAACATAAAAATAGTTCAAATACTTCATTGACATCTAACACAGTGTCTTACTGGGTTTTGTCACGTATTCATTTCAATTCCAGAAACAAAAAAAAACAACCTGTTGGTCAAATAAAACATCGCAATAGATTCAAAACCTTGAACAGAACCAAGAACCAAGTAGTTAACTAGTTCATCCGCTGCCGAAAATAGTCCCCAAAAGAGGCAACATTTCCTCAGGTTTCCTTGTTTTCAGGAAATCTTTATTTTCTTTGGTCAGCAGATTAACAGAAACTGTTGGAAAGTCACTTCACGTCTTTAACCAGACGAACTGGTGGCTAAAGGACAAAAACTCACACCGGCCTGTTGATCATGATTCCTGCCGCACAGTTTCATGTTTACTTTCCTCAAATATTAGATGTTTTCCTGCAAACGTGAAATTTCACGTTCAGGAAAAATATTTGTTTAGTTGAACGAGTCACCATCCGAATTCAACCTGAGTCCTACAGGTTGGAAACACTAAATTAAAATTCAGAATGATGTGTTTTAGATTTTAGTCTCAACGACTCAGTGAAAATCCACCAACATGAAAAGTATTCCTTGTATCCGGTGTCCAATGTTTCAATTCATTTTAGTTTGTTCTTTTTTGACCGTTTCACCTTTTATTTCCTACAGGCTGATTTTTTCCTCCACAGAAAGGAGAGCGGCCATGTTTGAGCTTTACTTTGACTTTACTGACAATCCTGAGAATGTCTTGATTCGCAAATGATGTATTTATGTGTTGTTGCCTTGGTTACTGTTGTCTCCAGGTCTATAATCCTGCTGTGTGAACATAAAATGTTTTTAAGCAACTAAAAATAAACCTTAAAAAAAAAAAACTTGAACTGGTGTCACTGTCATTTGTGTCACCTACAGCAAGATTAAAGTCAGTGTGACTTCAATGAAATGGAAGTCAACACTCAAGCAATACCATGTGACTCTCAGAGCCAAAGTCTTATGGACACTTTATGGACACAGTCTCAAAGGACACTTTTCCCACTATATACTACATCCTGATGCGTTTTCAGGACATTCTGGAACGTGACATTTTTTGACAAAAACGACATGCTATAGTATGACTTTTTTTTCCAGGCCCAATGATTCGAGAGCGT